GCAGTGTCATCAGCTTAAAGTAGCTCCTGGACAAGATGGTTTAAGGTTTTGGTGTGGGCCTTCAGTCGCCTTAGGTTGAATAGGCTTTCATCAGTACGGTATCGAATGTAGATACTGTCCTGATCCTCGAGGTCTGCAGTGGCCCTTTGGAGCATCATGCTGAAAAAGATTGTGAATATGGTTGGTGCGAGAACACAGCCTTAATTCACACCATTAGTTATTAGAAAGGGCTCAGAAAGTGCATTGCCATTTCTGACTTGGCCGTGCTGATCCTCATGGAGTGAGATGATCATTTTAAGGAACTTGGGGGACAACCTAAGCGATCCAAAATCTGCCATAGACCTTTTCTGCTCACACTATCAAAAGCCTTGGTGAGGTCGACAAAGGTTACATAGAGACCTTTGTTCTGTTCCCTACACTTCTCTAGCAGTTGTCTGAGAACAAACACCATGTCTTTGGTGCTCCTGTTGGCTCTGAAATCACACTGACTTTCAGGTAGAATTCCTTCTGCTATAGTGGGTATTAGTCTGTTCAAGGGTAGTCTTGCCAGGATTTTGCCAGCAATGGAGAGCAGAGTAATACCACAGTAATTCGATCAGTCTGATTTAGTACCTTTCTTCTTATACAAGGTGATGCTGACTGCATCACGAAGGTCTGATGGTAGTTCGCCTAGTTCCCAACAGCGCACCACAAACTCATGCAATTTAGCATGGAGTGCAAGACCCCTGTGTTTCCAGACTTCGGGTGGAATTCCATCAACCTCAGCTGCCTTGCCGATTTTCACCTGCTGTATGGCCTTGAGGTTTTCTCCTGAAGTGGGGGCAGTATCCAATTCATACTTTACCAGTTGTTGTGTGATGGACTGAATTGCTGAGTCTTGGACTACATGGCTAGTACTGAAGAGAGTCTGAAAGTGTTCAGACCATTGATTCAGAGTGGAGGTTTTGTCTGTCAGAAGCGTTTGACCATTGGCACTGAGTAGAGGGCTTTGGACCTGGTATGTAGGCCTGTATGCTGTTTTCAGAGCCTCATAGAATCCTTTGTGATTACCCGTATCTGCGCATAATTGAGTTTTTTCAGCTAGATCAATCCACCACTTGTTCTGTATGTCACAAAGTTTCTGTTGGAGCTTGCTGCATGCTGCTGTTTTTCTTACGTGACAGGATGGCAGTGCAAGATGTGCTTGGTGAGTGGTTCTCTTCTTCTTCAACAATTCCTGGACTTCTTGATTGTTTTCATCAAAACGGTCCGTGTTCTTCTTGAAGGAGAACCCTAAGGATTCTTCAGAGGACTGCAAGAGGCTGTTTTTAATATGGTGCCAAAGTGTTTCAGGAGAGACATCTGTAGAATCTATGGAATGGTTTTTGAGTCTAGTTTGAAATTTGCCTGGAATCTGTCTCTCACTGTGGTTGATTGGAGATTGTTCACTTGGAGTCTCTTCCTTGGATACTGCCCCTTTTTGGTTTGAACTTAAGATTGAAGTTAAGTTTACAGTGCACAAGACGATGATCTGTTTGACATTCTGCACTAGGCATCATGCAGGTATGGTGGACATCACAGACATCTCTCCGTTGCACCAAGACATAATCAATGAGGTGCCAATGCTTAGATCTAGGATGCATCCAGGTTGTCTTCAGACTATTTTTCTGCTGAAAGGTAGTGTTAGTGATGGTGAACTGTTGCTCTGTACAGAATTCTAGCAGAAGTCGACCATTATCATTGCAGTTTCCAACACCATGCTTGCCTAAAATTCCTTTCCAGGCTTCAAAATTCTTTCCTACTCTGGCATTGAAATCACCAGGGATAATGATCTTATCATCTGCAGGATGCACCATGTTCTCTACGGCTGCCCTCCTTGTGAAGGCGAACTTCACTGAGAGCAGCTATGTTGATGTTGAGACATGTCAGTTCATGGGCAATTAGGGCAGAACGACGCTTAGGACATCCGCCATTCGCAGAATCAAGCATGGTTCTGATGTTCCAACATGCTAGAGTTAATTTGGGTACACCTTGGGAGACAGGTATATGGCTTTGTCTTTTGATCTTTGTGTGACCACATTTGTAGAAGATGCCCGTTGGCCGTGGTTAACCAACCGGGTGAAGGGGGATATGAGCTTTGTTTAGAACACCTTTTCTAGGCCCCTCTCCGGGTGAAGCAAGCAGTGCTGTCTTTGAAAAGGCTGCTTGGACATTCGGAGTGCTGCCCAAAGAGACTGTCATCTCCTGTCAGTCTCTGACGACCAATATCCTGAACCGCCTGCATGCAGGGTTGGGTCTGCACCTTTCACCTGCCATTTCAACCCTCACCCATCACTACAGGGCTTTGCAAATGTGGGTAAGGCCTTCGATCCTGCACGATGGATATTTTAGGTGAGATGCGGTATGCGTGGAACTGAACCCACCCTTTAATCCTAAAGGTTCATCTGCTGGGGCTGAGCGAGCTTGGACGGTGGCAGCGAGGTCCTCAGGACGTAGGTTTAATTAGAGTGACCATCACTTAGATGGATGGCCTTACAGGGCTATGTGAGCTCCATCTGCCCCAGTTTGGGATTAGAGTTGTCCTTCTCCTAAGATGACTGCCAGGAGGCTAACGAGCTCATTCTGCCCAAGGATGTATTGTATCTGGCCCAATGGTTTTGACCTGTCTGGCATGGGGGACCCTACTGAAGGCATGTACCATTGCCGGCATAGCTTGCAACCACATAGGGGTACACAGGCTTCATTCCTATTAAAACGATTAGGGCAAGTCTTTCACTTCCTACTTTTCTACCACCTATCTATATTCAATATCAAGGAAATACCCAGGAACAACCCTTTGTCCTGACCACCCTTTCAGGATGTAACAAATATATCCAGAACATACCGAACCTGGGAAGTAGCCGCAGGTGAGCCAAAACCAAACAAATGAATGAACATTCTGGCCCCCATACACACCCGAGGCTCGAGTACCTCTCAAGGCCCTAGCCTGGCCGAGACTCCCAATGCCCCAGAAGAAACCATTATCCACCCTGACCTTATCCTCCCCCCACTGTGTTGCCTCATATCTTCCCACGCACCGTTTACCTGCAACACTTCATGCAGGGCTGCCCTGCCTGCCCTCCTGTCAGTCTGAGGACCCCCACGGCCCACCCGGCACCCTTCCCCTCCCCTAGACCGGACCGGCAAACCTCTGTGTGCTCCGAGGCCTCCACTCTCCTCTCCCACGAGGGTGCAAAGCCACGCCAGTGAAGCTCTCCTCCTTACCACCACCGGGGGCGGCCCTGCATGGGCCCGGGGGCAGCCCTGCGCCACACAGAGGTTCTGGCGGGGGGGGGGGGGGGCCCAGGGCCACGCAGAAGTTCCAGCGGGTGATACTTAATATAGATGCTATTGAAACTGTGCTTCTCACAACCAGGGCAAGTGCCCGTTAGCTTCCTGCAGGGCATTAATAAACTCTTGTATTCATAGTAGAAGATAGAGCTTCCATTTCAGATGAGATTAGTAGGAAGTGAGGAATGATTGCAAAATAGAAAGTTTGCAAGTATAATTTCATCACAATTTGCAGATAATGCCAGATGCAGGTTAAAAATGGCAAAGAACTGGCTCCTACAATTAGGAGTGATAGTAACACCTCTGTGATGACATATTTAAGAACAGAAGGTTGTTGCTCTGTGAAGAATTAAAGCCAGGAAACAGCACAGTGAGAACACGTGAACAACAGTGTAGACCAAGGTCAGTGCAGAAGGAAGGGGGGCCTAGAGGTGATTGGTCCCAGGAGAGTTCCCCCTGAGGGACCAATCGGAGCTGTTCTTTTTCGCTCCTGTGAAAATTAGATATCAACAACAGCCGGAAGTTGTTGGCAGAGTGTGTGAGAGTGTGTAAGAGAGAGAGAGAAGCTGGAGGGGTGGACGGGGCCCAAATTCTAATTACCCAGAGTGTATTTCATATAAAATAAAAAAAATGTGCTCAAAAAAGCAAAAATAAACCAAAACATAATTACTGATACATAGTGTAATGATCCTTCAGGACGTGTTAGGCATACCTGTTTCGTCGTCCATCCTCCTTCTCTTTTGCTTCAGGGTCTGGAAAGCTTAAGGTAGACACTGCAGGTACCTCATCCTAATGATATATTTTGTATTCACACCTTAAGGAGTAGGTGACATGACTGAATTTACTCAAAGGTAATCTGTTTATGTACTCATCTTTCTCTAAGCAGGGCATAAACTTTTATGCTTTTCATTAGAGCGAAGACAAATGCACCACCCAGTTACTAACAGGAGTTTTTGAATACATTGTCTTGTGAAATATATCTATGTATAATGCATCTCAAAATAGTATATGTAAATACCGTTACGGGACCCTGTTTTTCAGAACATATTTGCGTATATCAGTAAAACTGTGCAAGGATGTGTTTCAATAATGAGATTAGTAGGATTTCTGAACTTCACTAAAGGTCTTGTGAGTATTGTATGTTGAAATTATATAGAACTATTTTGATATCAATTATCCCATAGAATTTACAACCACAAAACTACAGAAGAGTTTTTTCAAGATGACTAATATTTGATATCTAGAATGATAATGAAATCATTGTCCCTGAAGGTTATCTTCTATGCTGTAGTTTACATAGTGCAATATTTGTCAACAAGCAATTTTTACAAACATAGACTGCAGTTACTTAGCTAAACTATTTCAGTAGGTAGTCTCCCAAGAATGCATTAAGAAAGGTTTGTATTCAGTTTGCTAAAACCAGTAAACTGTAAATGAGACTGTTATGTTTGATTATGATCCAGATGTGAAATTCGTGGATGGGTTTTGCCATCATAAATCCCCTAAAAGACCACCATAGGTTGCAACACGAAACTTGGAAGAGTTCCAGTAAAATACTCCTTAAAACAAAACGGAATATATGGGATTGTGTCTTGTTAATGCACATACATTAGACACGTTGTTTCCACACAAGGTATATTTTATATGATGTTTATGCACAGTATAACATTTTTGGATGTTGTTTGCTTCAGGTGTCTTGCTGGATTTTCTGGACAGTTTTGTGAAATTGAAGTTAATGAGTGTAATTCATCACCTTGTCTACATGGCTCAACCTGTGAAGATCACATCAATGGATACACTTGTAAATGTACACAAGGTAATTGCTATGTGACAGAGCAGTCTTAAACAATGACAGTTTTTAATTATCAGTGTTAATACTGAGAAAAATTGTTAAATCATACCAGGCTCTTTTTTTGTATTTAACCTATAAGGTACAAAAAGATTAACTATCTCTTTGGCAAGATTTTTGAATGAAATCTAAAGAGAATTAACTATTGCAATAAGCATGTTCGAAGGGCTTAAAACTAAAACCAGCTCACTGAGTTAGCCAGAAGAATGACCTAGAGCTAGGTTTATTTTTTATGATCTTTTCTCATGTAACTTACCAAGCACTCAAGTAGGCACTGTTTAATGGCTAGGTAATTTAACTACTTAATAAAATAAGACTAAAAAAGAAAATTGGAAAGAAATTCAGAACATTTTAATTATTATTGTTGTTATTGTTAATAATAATAATGCTCTTATTATTATTGTTGCTGTAAGACGTATCATGCTTATGTCCACTGGCAGGGATTAAAAGGAATTTTTTTAACTATTACAAATAGAATGAAGAAAGGCACTTTCTTAAAAAGTGGGAGCTGTTTTCTTATGGTGACGTAGATCAACTAAAACAGAGCTGGTGACTTAGGAAAGTATAAGAGATTTAGCATCTATACAAAAGCAAAAGTCACAGTCAGCCTGCATTGTCACACAATCACAAATTTAATCTATTCTGGACTACTCACAGTCTCCTGTCATTTCTATTAACAAAAAGCCTTTTGGCAACATAAGTAGTATTTCTGGTCCATATCCATAAGCAGCATTCTGCTCCACATGTTACTATTAAATTAAGAATTTTATGAGTACCTACCTCTGAAACTTTAGTTTTTCAGTTTAAGTCTATTATTTACTATTGTACAGACCAACACTGCTGAATAATTTCTTTGATAGTATTGACACAAGATTTCTTAGTTATTATTTTAGAGATTATTTAGAAATATTCTGAATTATATTATTCTGAGTGATTCTATTAACTCCTGATATCTTCATGCACCTGATCAACTTACTTCCTTTGTACTGAAGTGTGTTCACCTTCTTGGTTAGAATTTACAAGTGAAAAGATCTTGCAAAACTCTCCTGAAGTCAAGTGACCATATATATATCACACTTTTCTGCAGTCTTTCTAGCAATCTGTTCATATAATTTCTATTCATACTTGTTCTACATTTAAAAAAAAGCACATAGGGAATTGAATAATAACATATTTAATTTTTTTTTCATTCTGAATTGTCCCTAGTGCAGTATGTAAAACTGCAAAACATATGTAAGAGATTTTTTTTTAAAAAAAGTGTGGAAGATATTGAAGCAAGAGTGAGCATGTGTGTAATGAGAGCCAATTTGACAGTTTATTCATTTGTTTAATTGGTACTAAGGAATGATACTCTGATATGTAAGACTTAAATCCAAGTATCTTTGGCTTACTGGAGCCTGATTATGTTTAGGACTAAATTGCTTAAAGCTTAATACTTTCATAGCAACTTTTTTAAATTCAAGGAGATACTCGATGATTCAGAAAAACTCTATACTCTTGATTTATGAACCAATGAGTGAAAAATTTCTGGAATTTGCCATACAGAAGGTCAAATTCATGATAATAAAGACCCCTTCTGATCTGAAAACTCAGAGTCGTGACCTATCTTCAGTACGATATATTTTTTTTCCTCTCAACATAGTCACACAATGGAAATTCCACATGGATTAAACCGCATGTCCTCTCACTCTACCTGGTACTGCGCATGACCATATACCCCTTCACCAATACAGATGACTTAAAAACTTAAAAGATGTGTTTTTTAGTCATTACAGTGCCTCATACAGAATACGTTGCCAATTTCAATTTTTTTCTCCTTTTTAAAGCTTATTAAAGTAATACTTTAAATATAGTTGAATATAGGCATTGAAAAATTGCTTGCTAGCCAAGAACTGTCACTGCTGCCTCTATGCAACTCTACGTAAAAATGTTTGGTATAAGTAGAAGAAGCTTCTCTGGGGCTTGGAACTCACTCCTGAAGCTAACATGTTTTAAACACCTTCCAACCCGAACATGAGCTGCCTTTCCTTTATATTCCATTTAAAAATAACATTTATTAGTAGGGGTGAAAAATATCTACATTATTTCTCGACCAGGAAAAGGCATAGTGAAAGAACCACATGCATTAAGAAGATACATAATTTTTATGTATCTTGCTTCTTTTAATTAATATGGTATTTGCAAATGTTATTTGAGTCTCTGAAACAGCTGAGAAGGTGAGAAGGTTACAGCTCAGAAAAGGAGTGAATCTGGAGAGGCCGGGGACCCTTTGGGAGGAATAGCTTTTTGGAAAGTTGCACAACTGAAGAAAGAGATTGAAGAAAAATTATCATCTGGAGATAGAAAGTAGAAATAGTTATTAAAAAATCTATTTGCAGGCTACTACTTTTCCCATATCATAGGTCTTGGATTTCTCTTCTAAGCTTCACCTATAGAAATATGGGGCTGGGATTGAGGATTTTTTGATCTGTAAAGGCAACTATGGGAAAGAACTTTCCACAAGGTAGATAGTCTGATATACTCTGCAACAGATTCCCTGTTGCAATTTAATAAAATGGAACAGGGATGGTACCAAGACAAAAATAGGAACAAGGCAGATGATTACAGCTTCCCAAAAACCTCCAGAGAACAAAGTGAAGCATGTGGTGACAGCATGTCATACCAGGAAAGGGAATTGATTTAGCTCTGACAAATGCATTCTGTAATGGATCATGAATTTTGTCAGCTATTGTCCCATAGAATAATAGATGCATATTCAGGATCTGTGGCTGCAGCTTCAGACTGTTCAGGTGAGGAAGCAGCATGGAGAGATGTAAACTCTATTCTAACAGCGTCTCAGGGAGCTCAAAAGCAACACCAGCAGCCATTGGAACTAATAGCAGGCACATGGATGAAGTCTTTAGCTGGGCAGGCAGGTAGATCCATTTGATGCCTGCTCAGAAGCAAAGGCTGAACAGGGGCAAGTAGATTTGTATTAGCTGAGGACTGCTAGGGGGTTTATGGATCTGTTGGGTTTTCTTTGTTAGTTCGTTTAGAAATAGGGAAATTTAATTGGAGAAAAAAACCCAAATCTGTACTGGGAGTATCAGGGCAGAAAGTCTGTGTTCTTCAATAACTAACCATATTTTACAGAATTCTGGGTTTGTGTTTACCTAGCAAATTTACGGCTTCCAGTTTGGCATAGCTTCCAAGGAGCAAGTTCAAGACAGGCTCAAATTACATGATCTAAACCACAGCTTCCGGATGAGTATTTGGCCTCTCATTTATGGGGTGTGCTTAGTGGTAAAGGAGATCTTAATAAGAAATGCATATTAATAAAATTGCAAGTAATCTGACTAATTGGGTTTGTTTTTCTTTTTTTTTTTTCTGACAGGATGGGAAGGCCTCCATTGTGAGTTGGATGTTGATGAGTGCATATCCAACCCCTGCATACATGGTATCTGTGTTCAGAAGGAACCTAGCTTTGGTTATTCCTGTTTTTGCAAGCCAGGATTTGTGGTGAGATGCTGAAATTTTTTTATTCTTTCCTTAACCTGATTATTCATTGTTGCACAGAAAATAATGTAATCCCTTTCTCTTTAACCTTACTCAGATAAAATTCAAACCTTCTGAGTATTTTGTAACACATGAAATCTTGCTGAGGGTGCACTCTGTCCTATCTTCCAGTACTGAAGACTTTAAGTAGTGCAGAACCTAGTATGAAATCTTGGGATACACCATTAATTATTGGCATCCAGCATGACTTCCTGCTGCTGATCACTAAACACAGCCCTTTGAGCGTGGCAGTTCAGTGTTTTCAGTCCCTCTCACTGTCCACTCATTCGCAGTTTGTCGACTTGTCTATGAGGAAGTTAGGACAGACAGTGTTGAAAGCCTCACTAAAGTCAAGATAGACAACATTCACTGCTTTCCTCTCATCCACTAAAGCCATTCATCTCTTCATATAGGGTTATCAGCTCGGTAAGGCACTTTCCCCTTCATAGCTCCATGTGAACTATTCCTGATCACCCTCTTGTCCTTCCCATACCTAAAAATGTTTTCCAGGTGTCACTGACTTTCTTCCCAGGAACAGAAGTAAGGCTGACTGGCCTTTGGTTCCCTGGATCTACCTTGCTTTTCTTGAGCACAGGACTGACACGTGCTTTGTTCAAGCCACCGGGAATTTTTCCCTGTTTCAGTGACTCTTTACCCACAATTTTGTAAAGTCTGTATTTTACCATAAAGGCTTGGTAGGTTAAAAATGGATTTTAATAATCTGACTAAATTTACTGACAAGCTATCCTGAGAAGAAAAAGACTATCTCATAAGAATGAATACTATTTTTGTAGGGTGCTTCTTACAGAGTACAATGGATACCATTGATACTTCCCACAGACCATAGCAGATTTTTGTCTTCAAAAGCAGATTGGCATTCAAAACAATGTCAAGTGATGATGAAGGATATATCATTGGAGGGACATGGTCTTTTTATGTGGAAAACAGTCAGACCTCAAGTTAAAATAATCTAATTTTTTTCTTTAAATATTCATACTTATCCTAAATAAACCACTGTAATTGAGAAGATCAGTTACACATTTTTTTAGTATTTTTGTCTCACAAAAAACCTTCTAAATGCCAAATAAAATCATCGGGGAGGAAGCTTAAAATCTATTTGTAGAAACTATTTTTTCAACTGATGCAAAATTTATTGGTACAAGTCAGTGTTGCATGACACTGTAGAGACCAAATTACAAGGATGGAGTCCAGAAGGAAGATAGATTCACTGTTAGTCAAATTACTCTTCTAAATATTATCTTGGCTTAGGGAGTCCTTGATTTACTTATTGCCAGAAGTTAGAATGGTGTATTTGGTGAGTTATCAGATATAAACTCTACTTGTTTTCTTACCCAAGAATTCATTAATAGCTCACTGATGACGAGGCTAGATAGATATTTGAGCCATGGGGGCAGCTTTTCTATTAATACATAGCTTGGGCATTTAGTGTACAGTATGTTGCAGAACAAGCCCTTACAGAAGGAAAAGTAGTAAACCTGTGAAGTAGCTGGAATTTAAGATGTATCATCTTTTGCTTTTATTCCATTATTCGTTGTTCCATCTTCAGTTCCTCAAATTCCAGTATGCTTTGGGAAGGCCACAGTGGAGAAAAAAAACATGGTGGGGAACTGCCCAGAAAAAAATTTAACATGCCTGTCTTCAGTGTGAAAGATAAGAAGTTGCATTCTAAATATTTCAAGAGATATATTTGTTAAGCTCTGATGGGGTTAGGCCCCTAACTATGAGTAAGTGTGGAGTAGAAACAATGAAATTCCCAGAGAAATAAGTGTTCAAGGAACTCCAGCTACAGTATGTTAGATAAATCTTCTATAGTCTTCTGTAGTCTATGTCTGTACTGCTACTTGAAGTATGGATCATATAGTATGGATCATGAAATCTCTCATTGATTTTGAGAAGAAAAGCATACTCGGTGGTATTTGACATAGATGTTTACTTTTTAAGTGAAAACATCTATAGATATATGACTACTTTTAAATACAAATCTGCACAAGCTAAATGATTTTAACTGCCTGCATGGAAATTGTTAAAGCATTTACAGGCACTTTCAATGCTATCAAATTTATCTATGACTATTTAATGTACCCTTCATGCACAGTGGAGGTTATCCACATCTGCTTTGTTTCTATGAATCATAAAATCATAATAAAATGCTCTTCACCATTAACTGTAGTAGTCATAAAAATGTACTAATCTGTCACAAGGAAACTAAGAATGAAACATAAATTTTATAGGATTAAGATTAAGAGTTTGCTCAAATTGATCATTTGTTCTATGTGTGGAATTAGAAGAGAGAAAGGAAGAAATGTGTGGAAACTGACACATAAATTGACCTGCTGTTCCTTTCTGCTTTGGAATACCAATCCAGTGAGTGATTGATATGGTTTGAAGCTAGCTCCCTGCCAAGTCTCCAAACCTTACCACCAGAAGTCCGTCCCCCCTCCCCCAACCTCGGGGAGAAGAGGGAGAAAAAAAACTAAGAAAAACCCGAAACGAGAGAGAACAACCAAAGTGAGATATATAAATATATTTGCACTTATATACAATTCCACAAGGGAAAGGGAAGGGGGAAGGGAAAGGGAACAAAACTAAAATAAAATATATAGATATCCCAAGACCCAATATCTAACAACTAAAAAGTTAGCAAAGAAAAAATAGCTCACTACTCCCCTGGGACAACCGAGAGTCGCTCCGGAACGATCACCGGCAACCTCTTTCTCCCAAGGTCGACAAGGCCTTACCAGGCCTCGCTCCCCAACACGGCAGACTCAACAGCAGGGAACCTGCACCTCCAAGCCGCCGGAAGGAAAGAGAGCGAAGGCCTCTCCTCCTCTCTTCTTATAATCTGGTTTACGTAAAAATCGTAGGGAATACTGGGTAAATCTGGACCCTTCCTTGGTTACAAACTGGTCACCAAGGAAGGCCTAGCCCAAACCACCACAGTGATTTATAAGGTGCCATGAGTATACCAGATAACCCATCTACTTCCCAAAACAAATTAAGAACTTGATTGAAACAAGCATGGATGTATCTAAATCATCAAAAACCGCTCAATTTATCCTCCTCTATTTTAAACAACAAATGATTTAAACTACTGGTATAAAAAGTAATTGCAGATTTTATGTCTACATTTTTGCCTGTCTCTCACTTGCCCCTCCTATTGTTTTTTAATATTATAAATGAATTTAATAGAGTTGACAGAGATCTCAGAAAATGTAAATTGTCTCAAATTCTGTGTAAATAATTAGTCAGCTAGACAAGCAAGACTAAACATCTTGTGTGATGGAAAGTGTGTAATGAGCACATGCCTCTTGAGCTCTAGAGAAGGCTTGGATCTTTTTACATGTGCCTCAGTTGCAGGAGAAGATTCAACTGGAAATTATGTCATGATGATATGTTGTCAGACATGTATGTCTTTCAGGGATGGCAGTGTGTGTATTTTAAATAGCTATCCAGATATCAGGATCCTTCCGGGACAGCTTTTAGCTCTATCTCTTCACATAGCCTATTAGTTTGTTGCAACAGAAGTGAAATAAAATGAATTCAGGCCTGACTTCAGCATATATTTATTTCACACTTCAAGAATACATTGAATTAACATAATTATTGCTGCAAAAGAAATACATTATTTCTTGCCTTTTTTTCAGACCACTGAATACGAACATTTTTAGTTTATTACTAGGAAGGATATTTCAGGCTTCCCATGAATTGTTAGTCTTGATAAAAAATAGAAAATGAATGCCTGGTCCAATTTGAGACTGCCACTACATTTTTCCTTTTCTAAACATTATCTCTGAGCATAATGTATTTGCAAGGTGCTGTGTGAGGATTTGGTAACAGCGGACAACAAAAAAAGAGCTACAATGTACAAAAATGAAAGGATATTAGTTTGTAAATCAGAGTAAACCATAGATTTTTAGACAGCTAAGTCCATTGTACAAAGTTTTCTTTAACTACATGCTAGCTAAAGTTGATTATTTTAACCAAATTTATTATTACTGTGACATTGTCCTTGATACTTGGTAATTACAAATCTGTGGGGAAATTATTTTTATTGATAATTTGTAATAGTAAATCAGAGTCAAAATAAAACTCTGTTAAAATTCAAAATATACATTATTAAATTAATTAAGGAATATTTTCCACATTATGAGGTATCCTTTCAAAAGTGTAAAGAGCTTAATACAGCGAAACAACATTTTAGAATCAAAAGAAAGCAATAATTTTAAATAACATGACTACGAAATGCAAATTGCTTTCAAAAATGGCTTTTTTTTTTTTAAACTCTCTTTCAGGGACGAAGCTGTGAGCTTAATTATAATGATTGTCTTATACAGTCCTGCTCCACTGGGTTTATTTGTGTTGATGGAATAAACAATATCACCTGTTTACCTACTATGCCCCAAAGCAAGAAAACTGTCACTGAAGTGGCCAGAGTGTTTCCTTCTGAAATTTTAGACAATGACCTTCCATCAGCCCTGGCTGTGTCCATGGAACTTTGGTCTAAACATGTTTCTCCCGATTTTCATACAGGAGAGGTGTCCCAAGGTAAGTAAAAAGAGCTTCTGAGCAATGCGTATATAAAACTTCTTTCCTTGTTAATGCTTTTAAAATAGGAAGAACATTGGAAATGTATTAGTTCTTCTCTTCTAGTTCACATGTTTTCTGAGTGCTTGACCAAGTGTGCTTTTTCTGTGCATCTAGATGTTTTTTCACTAAAAATATCTGAGACAAACCTCTCATCTTCTCTGTCATTATAATTGCTTGTAGTGATATTTCTGGGAAGCCAAAAAATTGCGTATCCTGTTATTTTGGAAACATTTGCAGAAAAATCAACAGTAATAGAAGCACAATATTTTATTATGAAGATTGTGCCTTCAATGTGGCCTGTCCATTTTACTGAAGATAGCATTATAAAGATAGCACGTGTATAAGACATCCTTTCAGTTTCTGAATTTTTTGTTTATACACTCTATAAAAGTGATTTCTTGTATAAAAAATTAAGCCAAAAGTCCCCTTTGATTTTTGTATGCGTTTTTTTTCTGGTTTTTGGGGTTTTTTAAATTCCGTAAATGAACTTTATTGAATGTGTGATTTTGGTACAGAATATACCTAAACTTTTGTTGCATTCTTAATAGGTAATATTCCTTCTTATGTAAGTAACGACACTGAGTGAAATGCAGTTAGCAAATACAGTTAAATCTGTATATCTTCCAAAATATTCTGAGGTTGTCAATGGATAACATTCGTAATTCATTAATTTCATATTGTTTCATAGTTGCAGTTTTATTTAGAAATTTTAATACTTCTGTCCTGAGCAGTACTATTTGTTCTGATGCTGGCCCTCATAAAGAAAATGAATAATGAGAATTTAGCATTTACTCAACTCTAGATGTCACTAAAATTGCTTCTACCCTTTTATTAAGAATGTGATTTGCGGTGTTGGGTTTATCTTCTATATAACGCTTTGGTATTGCTACCCATGTAATTTGCTGAAGATTTAGCCCATGGTCAAAGTTATTAATTTTTTTTTCTTTTCTCTTCCGTAAGAGGGTTTTTTTGCTTTGTTTGGTTTTGGTTGTCAGTTTTTTCTTCATTTTTATCCTTAAATGTCTGAAAAGGGCAGATATTTTCAACTGTGGGATACTTCTGACCACTCCTTTGGCTAAACTAAACTATGGATTAGGAGGACTGGTTGCCACTGGAGACTCTTCAACACTATTCAGGATAGCAACTTCAACAGGTGTTCTCTTTTCATGCTTTCTTAGTTCCACTGTTCAGGTCTCAGTGAAAAAAGTCTGATATCACACCTGTACCATATGGGCTACCAATACTTCCACAGTTCTAAGGTCAGTACCTCTTCCCCAGCATAATTATGATACAATGATGTTTCTAATTCATTCTTTAATGACATTTTCTGTTTTCACTACACAAGTCTCATCATTGGAGCAGCACCAGACTGTTGCTTTATCTGCCACAAACACGAGTTCAGTAATTACTAACATACCAAGGGCTGAAACAGAATTAAATAGGCAGTCACTACTCTCTTGTGAATCAGTTTAAACTGATTCTACAAGTGCAGCTTCCATTCTCTCTAGGTGGCCTTGAAAGCATCCTGTAAAATTGGCAGGTGTTCTGATTAGCATCAGAAGAGCAGTAGAGATTGTACAAAGTCCTTTAATAATTTCTCATTCCCCCACTAAGATATATATCTAAAACCAGGTATCTTCCCTTTGTTAGGTGGTCATGAAACTCAAATGTAAACATCTCTTCCTAGTGGATATCTGGCTATTACTACTGCATCATCCAAAGACTCACAAACATCAAATCACAGCTTCTTCGAGTGAGTTAAGCTAAATACGTGCAATATGTTCTATGATGATTAAAACTGATGAATTCTCAGACCGAGATCTGCATATTAAACAGTCCCCATTTTATGAGATGTTTTGGATGTACTCAGCTGGTACACAATAATGGGAGCTACTGGTGGTATTTCTGGGTATTTATTTTCCTTATTCATCAAAATAACATCAGCAAAATTCACAGAACTTTCATCCTTGTGTGCCATTACAGGAAATGCACACACATATCTAATTGATTGAACTGCTTGTTCTTTCTTTTCCTTCACAAGAATCACATGCTCATCTTTCATTGTTTGATTGATATGTGTAACTATTTTGCCTTCAAAGATTGTCTCTTTATAATTATCATTTTCGTCACTACGTCCTTTAAAGAGACAAATATAGACTTGACAAAATGAGTAGCTACTATTAAACAGCTGACAACAGGAAGTTCAGCAGTTACTGGAGGCAGAACTACATGATCCAGTTATAGAGACCTGTTATTCATGAAGCTGGGGTACTTTCTAAAATGTTCAGCTGAGTCGTGTATCTCAAGAACTACTTTTAACCCACAAAGTAAATAGTAGTTCTGAGTTCAAAACACATCTACTAATAAATGTAGGTGAGACTCTTAAAATGTTTTTGAAAATAATCTGATCAAGTATTCTTGATATATATCTTCCTACAAAAACTTCAGGTACAGACTTACTAATGGGTACCCTGAAAAGTTGTCATTTTTCCAATCTCCTAGTGATGAGATATCCTACTTGGTTTTATTGACACAAGTTCCATCTGTACAAACAGAAATTTATAAAATTATAGTGACAGAGAATTTATCTTTACATACATGTTATCCTATTTCAAGTTCTACCTTACAAGTGCGTTAGCAGTATTGTACTGAAACATGACTGTTGTGCATGATAAAGAGCTTCTCATGAGTCTAAACACTGTCTTACCTAAACTTCACAGTACATCTACATCAGATTCAGTTTCTGGCCTTTTTCAGTTATGTGTTGAGTTTCTTGTTTCTATTCAGACAACTTTTTGAGGTTGTGGAGTGCCTGTCAAAGCTGCCAGGAGCTTGAAAGAGATTTATTGTAATCAGGTAGCAGCCTGTTCAATGGATATGGCACCTGCTGCTGTATCTGACACAGGTGGCTATTCTTCATGTTCTGCCACATAGGCTACTAGATCTATATAGAAGCAGGTTGGAGGCTGCTATAATGCTGACAAGGCAACCAGTAACTGAACAGTTTCACTTCACTGCAGTAATCTTTTCAGGATTTCAGGTGTAGCTTTCATCACACTTATATATAAATTCAGGAGGTATTTCTATGGTTACAGTATATAAGTACATTTATTAGCATTTTTGAATGCAAAATAGGAATAGAGAAAAATGTATTTTCAGCTACTGAGATAATATTTTTTTCTATATAGTATAATTAACTTGCCCCTTCTCATTCCAAAATGAGACAGATAATAGCTGGATTTTTTTTAAAACTTTTGTAAAAACATTGCAACATTTTGGAAATAAGTCTGGGAAATTAAAAGAACACAGAAAAGCTTACAAATTCTAGAATTAAATATTAAGGATTATTGACTGGTTTGGACTACATTTTTAAGCTGTATTTTTATAAAGCGAAATGAATACCCATAAAGCAAAGGAGCGGTTTTTTTGACTTTTAATTACTTTTCATTTTTTGCTTGGAGGTTTGTGGTGGAAAAAAATCACTTTATATCATTGATTTAAATCATATAGGAAAAAAACAAAGTAGTCTAGACCATGAGAGATATGTATGAAGGTGCCAAAAGACAAATAAAACATTTTTCTGGATTATAGAATAATGTTTGGGTTTTTTTCTGTGAATGCTTGTCTACATAGGTTTCATTCTTGGTATGCATGCACAGGTACACAGATCAACTTCTTAGTGCCAGAAGAATACTGTGCCTGTACTCATGAGGTCAAGTTGTCTGAGCATACCACTGTGGATTCCCAACTGATCAAGATACGACCTAAAAAGTCATATTTTCCGTGGCTGGATTTTTTTTTATTTTTTATTGTAGTGAAAAGAACAGATGAGGAAGAACAATGAATCCCCAAAAGTAATACTTGCCCTTGTTTTGATGCATAAGCACATATATGCCTTATTTAAAGGAGGAAATAGGCCTATTAAAAAGCCAAGTGAGAAATGCTCTTGGATGAATAAGATTCTTAATACATTGGTGTATCTGCAGTAGAAGAAATGTGTCAAGTTGTTAAATCTGATGTATGCTTCTATACTTACTAGATCTGGTGTATTACTTAAACTTGGGGAAAAAATACTGATGATCCACCATAGATAACTTGCACTCTCTGAAAGTTGGATACAACATACTTTTCACATAGTTTAAGATTCTTATTCTCGTCTGACAATAAGTACATACATTACAGCGAGTTCTAAGAGAGTTCAAAATAGCAAGGACCCCTCTTCTAGAAAGACCTCTAGTCTAGAAAGGACCTATGAAAGATGGGACATATTTGGCAGAAAAACATATGCTTTGGTCCAGCCTCCAGGTATATATTTCCACTGCCATACCATTACTTGTGGCAAATAACGTTTTGTAAATACATTTGTTCTGAGAAAAAGATATGTTTAGAGTTATAGAAATACTTTCATGTGGCCAGTTTTTAATAATATGGAAATATCTGTTAGCACTCTGCAAAATTCTGTATGCCTGTTTAATAACCCAATTCATAATATGACCATGCTCATGTAGATGTGAATATTCTCCCCGTCACAATGATAATAGTGAGTTTTGAGTTTCGAAAGCTCTTCAACAAGAAGATAGTAAAAAAAAAAACAAACAAATCTTTAGAGGTAGTTTCCACAGTTATCCAAAGATTATGAAGACATGTAATGATTTGTTCACTTGGTACTTCTGAACTAGATTGTAATGCTACAATGTATTCTATTACCAGCTTGAAAAAATAAGCCCATTTTTAAAAATGAAGGGCTATTTGGGTAAATTTGGTCTGCACATTTACAGACCACTTCTGTAGTAGTGGCTTCCATACAGGATATCCAGAAGCAGGAGTAAGTCTAATGAAAATGCTGAACAAGACAGGGAACCTAAAGACTCAGAAAAGGCCAAGGTGCTTGGTGCCCTTTTTGTCTTATTATTTACAGGTAAGACTGGCTTTTGGGAATCTCTGACACCAATAAAAAA